GCTGGTTCTCTTCTGTCTTCAAGTTACATTTTCCCTATCTCCGAGCCTAATGACCATTGCTACCTTATTAAAAATTCTTATTTTCACTCTTTGGGTAGGAACTGAGAACTGGAGATCATACTAATCCCTACTTTTAGATGGTTGTTGGTGGTGGTTGTGGCAGTGTTGGTTTGCTCTGTGCCTTCATTGTTCTTGGGTGGTTAAACGATTTCATGTATTTAAAGACTCCAAATATGCTGAGGAAGCTTGTATGGTAAATACCTCATCTCATGTGTATTGCATATATATTGTAGATACAGCTGGGTTTTTGCAGGTAGGCTGAGATTGGATTAGATAAAATAGTGTTCAGGCTTCTTGTTGCTCAGGGCCAAAAGTTTTTGCATGATACTCAGAGCCAGAGATACTACAGGTCTCACTAGTATTGAGAGGAGCTGTGTCTCACATTTCTTCTGCCAGGTTGCAGAGGCAACGTTAACATCCCAACTGAAACCGCATCAAGAGAAATCGAATTTTATTATCAAGACCCCAAAGGTAATGTCGTTTTCCCCACCCTGTCCATTATAGTGCCTTGGAGTTCTGTTCTCTACTCTGCTTCTCTTCCTGACTCCTTTTAATGTTTTTTTTTAATTTAAACTGAAAGCAACAACAACAGCAACAAACTTCACTATTTTTTTTATTGTCTGTTTTATTTATTTTATTTTTATTTTATTTTATTGAGTTATAGTCAGTTTACAATGTTGTGTCAATTTCCAGTGTAGAGCACAATTTTTCAGTCATACATGAACATACATATATGCATTATCACATTCTTTTTCACCGTGAGCTACCACAAGATCTTGTATATATTCCCCTGTGTTATACAGTATAAACTTCAAACTTCACTATTCTTAAGGTACTGGGTGGGGCTCAGAGTCCTCTAAACTCAAAAGAGATTTCAACTCCAGACCTTAAATTATAGAAGTGGTTTAACTCTTTGTCTTAAGTGGACTTGCTTTTGTCTTTGTTTTCACTCTGATTCCTTTTGGTTTCTAGGGCACCAGAGATCTTAGTCCCCAGCAGATGGTTGTGAGGGAGAAAATTCTTGATATGGTTGTTAGCTGCTTTAAACGTCATGGAGCAAAGGGGTTGGATACCCCAGCATTTGAGCTAAAGGTAAGAGGAGAAAAAAGAGTGCTGGAACTCCGTTTCCCAAAGGGCTTTTAGCCTATGATCTGAAGTCCTCTTTCTGTTTGACTTCTGCAGGAAATGCTTACTGAGAAGTATGGAGAGGACTCCATGCTCATCTATGATCTGAAGGATCAGGGTGGAGAGCTGTTGTCCTTGCGCTATGACCTTACTGTATCCTTCTGAGTACTGATGCCTGTCTTATATCTTTCCAAACCTAGAGGTCTTTCTCTCACAAAAGGGACAAGAGTGATTCTGGAACCCCATGGATTTATTGGCAGCAGCCTTTACTTCCAGTTCCTTCCAGAAAGCATTTCTGTCAGCAGAGCCTGGCCTGGAGCACTGTCATTTAAGTTTATAGTGTATCAGAATGCCTTGGGGAAGCTTGCAAAAATACAGATTCTTGACCTTCAGCCCCATATATTCTTAATTCTGTAGCTGGAGTGCAGTTCAGCAATCTGCATTTTAAACAGGTACCTGGGTAATTAAGATGCAGGTGGTCCCAGACCTACACTTTAAGAAACATTGTCATAGGAGTTGTAGGTGAATCCAGGTTTTGAAGCTTAACTGTTCTGAGACAGTTGAGAATTGGGAGGGAATGGCCTGGACTTGATGTTCTTGGGACATTTTTATCTCTACTTCCCCTGCTTTCTACTGAACTTGAAGTTTTGCTAGGTGGATTTCCTTCATTTGACACTGTTTAGTACATATTGAGTGCAAAGCCCTGCTTGGCCTTGGAGATAGTGGGAAACCAGACAGAGAAGATCGTTATTCTCATCCTAGTGGATGAGATCCAATTGAGAGAGGCCTAGTCTTCCCGAATGTTTGTACACTGGGCCTAAATTTTGGATCAGTATCCTTCCTCCTTAACCTATTTATATGAGGTCCCTTTTGCTCGTTACCTGGCCATGAATAAAGTGAAGAAGATGAAACGCTACCATGTTGGAAAGGTATGGCGGCGAGAGAGCCCAACCATAGTCCAAGGCCGCTACAGGGAGTTCTGCCAGTGTGTAAGTGACCTGGTGGAGGAAGCATGGTGTGATAGTTCTGTGGGCTACACCCATGGAACTGGTTGCTCAGTGATTTCTTTTTTTCCTGTCTGTTTCTTTGCTGTAGGATTTTGACATTGCTGGTCAATTTGACCCTATGATCCCTGATGCAGAGTGTTTGAAGATCATGTGTGAAATCCTTAGTGGATTGCAGCTGGGGGATTTTCTCATTAAGGTAAGAACAGGGCTGAGGACTGAGGGGAGAAGTCTGGACTTAGCCTGATGCTAATCTCAAAACATAGGTGTCCCCAGCCATTCAAACTGTAGCTCTAGGACTCTCTTAGTACAGGTGTTGCATATCATATATATCTATATAGTCATCCTGTGAAATTTCTTTTCTATCCCTTTTATGAGTCTGGAGAGTAGGGACTGCCATTGTTTTGAGGGAGAGGTCATTGACAAGGCATTTATGTTACTTCCTTTGAGTTCACAGGTCAATGACCGGCGGATTTTGGATGGGATATTTGCTGTCTGTGGTATTCCTGAAAGCAAATTCCATGCCATCTGCTCCTCGATAGACAAACTAGACAAGGTAACAAAGAACACATGCTTCGGTAGGTCTTATAAGAGTTTCTGCCCTGCTCTCAACTCTATACTCTTGGAGGAAAATAAGGAGATGGTGACTAAAAGTGAGCTATTTCTGGGAGGATGGTAAGGAGACATTCTGAAGCAAGATCTAAGTTTTGAGATTATGGTTGGATTTCCTAAGCTGCCTCTGATTTTGCTGGGTATAGTGTTAGCTAGTTGTAACATACATACTGAATGAAAATGAGATGTCCTTTTCCATTTAGAGAAAAAAGGATCTTGGGGCTAGGCTAATGTTTGGGTGTTTGTGCAGATGTCTTGGAAAGATGTGAGACATGAGATGGTGGCAAAGAAAGGCCTGGCTCCTGAAGTGGCTGATCGAATTGGGGACTATGTTCAATGTCATGGTAAGAATCAGTGTTTTCGGAGGTACATGATAGAACCAGAGTGAGGGTGATATGTGTATAGGTTCTACCTCTGAAATATCTCCTTTCCATAAATGTGCTAAGTTCCAGAGCCTGATCTGAATTTAAATGCTTTTTTACTTATTGTAACCTGTTTATGTTCTCAGATGGCAAAGACGGAGGCAGAGAAAGAGAATCTGGTCATAGGTGATCAAGATTTCTTCCTTCCTTTCTTTGTTTCTTTTCTTTTCTTCTTTTTTCTTTTGGTAAGAAACTGAGGAGGACTAGCTGGAGCACATTAGGGATAAATATAGATGAAACACATTTGGGTGAATAGCACAGACCTTATTTCTCCCACGTATCTTTCCAGGTGGGGTGTCTTTGGTGGAGCAAATGTTCCAGGATTCAGGACTGTCCCAGAACCAGCATGCCCTAGAGGGCTTGAAAGACCTGAAGCTGCTATTTGAATACCTGACTTTATTTGGAGTTGCTGAGAAGGTAAGCTGAGTTGCAAGTGACCTCCTGCTGTATCTGGGGCTCTCAGGGTCCTGAGTCTTGTCTGAAACTAACTAGAGCCATATCCCCACAGATCTCCTTTGACCTGAGCCTGGCTCGGGGCCTGGACTACTATACAGGAGTGATCTATGAAGCAGTGCTGCTACAGACCTCAGCTCGGGCTGGGGAGGAGCCCCTGAATGTGGGCAGTGTGGCTGCTGGTGGGCGTTATGATGGGCTGGTGGGCATGTTTGACCCCAAAGGCCACAAGGTGCCGTGTGTGGGGCTCAGCATTGGGGTAGAGCGAATCTTCTCAATTGTGGAGCAGAGGATGAAGGTAGGTCCTAGGTAGGGTTCGAGTGGGGCTGGAGACCTTAAAAACTCTCATGTTTCTAGAGGTACAGTTGGTCTGTTTTTCTGATGATTCTTTTTGTTTTAGTTTTTATTTTTGGAATTACTGGTGCAAAGGAAATTTTTATTAGTTTTATTTTCTCTCTCTCTCTCTCTCTCTGTTTTATTAGACTTTTGGTGAGAAGATACGGACCACAGAGACTGAAGTGTTTGTAGCCACTCCACAGAAGAACTTTCTCCAAGAACGTTTGAAGCTAATTGCAGAGCTTTGGGATGCTGGGATCAAGGTATGGTGGAGTTAATATCCAAACTGTCTAGGTATATGTGGAATTCAGGCACCAGGCCCATTTCCAACTTATGCCTAGGATGGAACTCAAGACCTTTCTAATGTTCACTAGAGTATCTTCTTAGAGTAAGAGGGCTAGCTACTTACTTCTTTGGATATGCTTGCTCCTGGGTTTTGAGTGGTGTGACCACTTCTAAACCTCCTATTCTTCAACCTTTTCAGGCAGAGCTGATGTATAAGAACAACCCTAAACTACTAACCCAACTGCACTACTGTGAAAACATGGGCATTCCCCTGATGGTCATTATTGGTGAGCAAGAACTGAAGGAAGGGGTCATCAAACTCCGTTCAGTGGCCAGCAGGGAGGAGGTAAGTTGAGGCAGGCAGAAATAGAAGGGACCAAGTGTTTCTACCTTTCTTAGATTCCTTAAGAAACATGTATACTCTGGCTGAGGAAATATCTCCAGGGTTATAGTGATTGAGCTCCCACCCAGGCAACAGTTGTAGCCACTGAGTATTGGCTGGGTGGGGAAAAGGACAAATGAAATCTCAATGGGTATTTCAAGACTAATCAACAAAATAGACATACTTCAGGTGTTTGAATCCCTTTAGTCAAAAAGGCATCCATTCTTCAGGTCAGCTTGAAGCCCGTAATACTCTCTACTGGTCACGTAAGTAGTAGAAGAAGATGCAGAGTTAAATGAATCTGGAAAAACAGTGGCTAAGGAACTAGTATCATTTGCTAGTTTGTCACATGAGGGTTCTCTTATGTTTCAGGTGGCCATTAAACGGGAAAATCTTGTGGCTGAAATTCAGAAGCAACTGTCCAAGTCTTGATCCTTGCCTGAATGCCATCTGCTGCTCTTTGTAAAAAAGGTTTCATCTACCACTGAGTTCTTGATGGACTTTACAACTGCTGGCCAGGATGGGTGACAAGTGCCTCTGCATCCTCCATCCTTCCTGGGCACAGAACTGTAGAAGTCCCTGAGGACTCCTGGGCTAGTGTGAGCAGCTATACTGCATGGGCGCAGATGGCTGGTATGTGAAAGAGACATGCTGTAATTGAAGAGTGGATTTGAAATGCCATTGAATGCTGCCAACAGGTGCTGAGTTGATTGCTGTGAACAAGTCTCTGGGAAAGTCCCCTCAGGTTGAGAGGATTCTGAACTATTGAGATCAGAAGTCAAATACTTAGCCTTCCATTCTGGCTTCTGAACCAGATTTTGGGGAGTTTGTTCACAGTCTGCCCTTGACCTGTCCAGGGAGTTTTTGGGAGACAGTGAGGAGAGGCAATGACTACTTTCTGTTTTGTTTGAGGACAGGGATGCTATTCCAATGGCATAGCAGTGCCCAAATTCATGTGGCATCTTTCTAGCCTATCCACTGTTAATAATAGCAGGGTGAGGCTGTCTGTTTAATAATCTTGAATATTGAACTTAATAGGTGACCTCACAAGATGGAAATCTGACCTTTTGAGATTTTTGGAGACCATTACCTGTGCCAGAATCACTGCTCTGACTATTCCATGTCCTGCTGTGGAGGTGGCTGTTCTAGAAGTGGTTGTGTAATTTATTAAATAAAATATTAAATGTAGTAGTTTGGGTAATCTGTCATCAAGGGATTGGCTTGCATAGGCCATAGAAAATGTACACTGGAGGATTCTGTGAGCTAGAAGTAACCTCCCTGGTGTGATGCTTCTGTATTCAGTGAAGGGATCAGCCACAGTTCCCCCTCTCCCCAACTTGGAGATACAGTCATGTCACTAAATCAGTATATACTGAGGCATCTGTTAGAATTCTTCACCCTAGAGCGTTGCTGGAGGCTGGCCTTCCCAAGTTGATCGTGTTGATGAAATTGTGCCCTATAGATTGAATGACTGTAATGTTTCTCAGTTGAAGGAAAAGTGAGTTAACCAAAGGGTAATAGCTTCAAGATAAAGAGACAAAATGCAAAAAGCTCTTTCTGTAAGTGCGTTGGTAAGGTTGCAGCCTTTCCAAACACTTGGGTGCAATGGGGCCATATCTACAGAGAAATGAAGCATCTAGAGCCCCTAATAACAGCACTTTGGCCTGAAAGGAGGTTTGGAAACTCTTGGCATCTCACGCAGGTTGATTAGACCAGATCAGAAAGTACTGATCTGAACCTCATTTTCCTCTTTTGTGAAATAGAACAGTTGAATATATGGTGGTTTTGAAAGCCAGGGTAGAAAAACGCTTGCAGGCGCCCTTACTTCCGTGTTGCTTCATACTCTTTTTGCGCATGCGCCATTTCCTTGGAGCCGAGGCGGGGCCGACAATCCGGTTTTAGGAGCCCTCCAGTGCTTAGCTCGTTTAGAATGCGAGACTCTAAGCTTATTGGAGGCCAGCTTGCTTTACGGCTCAAGGCTGCTTTTTGCGGCATTTTCCGGCTTCCCATTCACTTCGCAGTGAAGATGGCGTCCGGCAGCGGGGTAGGTGTTGTGTGTGAGGAGGAGGTTTAGGGTGGGGGGCTTAGGGGGTTTCTCCGCCCTGAATATCCTACGCCGGACTGAGTCCTGACACCTCCTCGCGGTCTAATGGCCCCGGTTCAAGAGCTGCCCCGTAAGGCCTTGGCACAGGGTCAGTGGAATCGGGAGGTCTCTGGTTGGGGTCCTGAGGCAACCTCAGCCTCCTGGTGCTGCCCGGAGAGGTTTCCCTCTCCCAGGTCCCCAGGCCGCTTTGGCAGCGAGGACGCGGCTCCTGCCGTTTTTCCAGGGGTCAGACACGATTAGCGACGAATCTTGAGCACCTTTTCCCCACAGACAAAAAACTTGGACTTTCGCCGAAAGTGGGACAAAGATGAGTATGAGAAGCTCGCCGAGAAGAGGCTCACGGAAGAGAGAGAAAAGAAGGATGGTGGGTGTCTGCTCTATCAAGTGCTAAGTGTGTTGTAGAGGATGCAATGGCTGGAGAGTGTGGGTGGGGAGTTGAAATGCGCTGTCCCCCTAACCTGTGTAACCTCTGGCAGAGCATTGCCTCCCTAATCTTCGATTTCTTCAGGTATGAGAGCAAGGAGATGAACTGAAGCAGTTTTGAGGTGCTTTCCAGTTCTGTGGTTCTCTGCTTCCTTGCCCTCCCTTTGCTTGGTTCATTTAGTACTTTCCCCAAGTACGGAGAAGGGAGTGGGAATCGTTAGTAGTGACAGAGAAGTCAAGTGGTGTGATTTGGTGCTGTGTATTACTGCTGTTGAAGAGCTTCTCTTTCCTTCATCAGGGAACATGGGATTGTTTCAGCTTCTGCTTAGTTCTGTTCTCTGTGCCTTACATAATGTCAGGGAAATGGTGCTCCTCTCCTAAACAGAGGTTCCACTATACGAAAAGGAATGTCTTATTTTCTTACGTGTTTTCAAACTTGTCCATTCTTCTTCTACTTTACTTCAACACTGCCTTGCATACATTAATCCTTTTAGTTTTTATGTAATTTGTACAATAGTGTTCGGCGTGTAACAGATAATTTCCTAAATGTTGATCCCCCTTTAAAAATTTTCCCTAGCTCTCAGAACACTCCTTTCTGTGTTATGCTTGGTGTATCTGTTTGAAAGCATTACTGAGTGGTCTTGCTCTTCTTTTAAAAGGTGGCTTTTTGTGAAAATGCAGAACTGCTCCTTTCAGTTCAGTTAATTCATGATTAAAAAAACCATTGCTTTTAGGCTTGTTAGCTTTAAAATGAGAAAAGATGTAGAGAGTTAAGCATTGCTAATCATTTTTCCTGTGTTGAGATTCTCCCTAGCTGCTTCTAGAAGTGCCCATTGTGTCCCTTGCTTCAGGTTTCAAAAAAGAGATGAAAGTAGACCTCTGAATTTTGTGTTTCATGCATTTCTTTTCCTTTCTGATTAAAGAACACTAATAAAGAAGGGACTTCTTTCCCCATTATATTTCAGGAAAACCAGTGCAGCCAGTCAAGCGGGAGCTTCTCCGGCATAGGGACTACAAGGTGGACCTGGAATCCAAACTCGGGAAGACAATTGTCATTACCAAGACCACGCCACAATCTGAGATGGGAGGGTGAGTGGCTTTTTGTCTTTCTCTGCAACCAAGACTAAGTCTAATAAACTATCTGTGGGTTTTAGGAAGTGTTGAGCAATGTCCTTGGCCCCAGAATAACAGCCTTGTTTCCTATAATTCCATCTTTTGTCCTCTGAGGTCTCATGTTAGCATAATAGTGTCTCTACGAGGGGTCACTCTATAGGTTTCTTCTTTAGCACTATAGCTATTTCTTAATATCTTAAAAAGGATTGTTTGTTCTCCTGCCAGAGGAAGAAATGAAGCAATGGACTACTGAGGCGATTTCTAGGGAAGAAATTAGGTGAAGCTACAGTGGAGCCCAGGAGCAGCTGAGAGTGAATAAAGGGGGTTGAGCTTCCAGAATGGGTGCAATGGTTGTAGTTTTTATGGATTTCTTGGTTGTGCACATTGTTCTGAGACCAAGACTATAACCTTTAGGAAGAAGGGTCCCCACAAAAACTCTTCATCTTTTTGCCCATAACTACTTTTCTGTCCAGTTAGGTTTTTCAGCAGAAGGATAACACAGATAGCAATGAATGACACTTTTCTGAGCTGCTTAGTAAACCCACTGTTGTCATTCCTCTTTGTGTTAGTTATCTATTGCTATATGAAATAATACATTAACCCAAAATTTAGCAGCATAACAGATAGCTCATAATATCTGTGGGTACGGAATCTGGGAAAGGTATGCCTAGGTGATTTTGGCTCAGGGTCTGTAACAAAGCTGCCATTGAGATATCAGCTGGGTCTGCATTCCTCTGAGGTATAAGTGAGGCTGGAGGATCTGTTTCCAAGCTCTCTTATGTGGCTTTAGTTCGGAGGCCTCACTTCCGTGCTCCATGGGCCACTTCATAGTGCTATTCACAACAAAGCAAGTGGCTTCCCCAGAGCAAGCAATCCAAATGCACAGACTAAGACAGAGCCACATGTTCTTTTTTTTTTACTAACCTAATCTTGAAAGTGACATAACATCGTTTTTAACATATTTTGTTGATCACACAGACTAACCCTGGTACAAATGGGGAAGGGCCTATATAGTGTAGGAATACTGGGAGGGTGGGATCATTGTGGGGGCTATGTTGGAAGTTGGCAGTGAGAATTGTCTCTTTCTTCTAAAAAGAACTCTTACCTAAAAATATGAGATTCTTGGTTGAAAAATGATAAAATCCTTACAACCAGATTTGACCCTAGTGCTGTTTCTTTCTGTTTGCTAGATATTACTGCAATGTCTGTGACTGTGTGGTGAAAGACTCTATCAACTTCCTGGATCACATTAATGGAAAGAAACGTAAGGCTTGGAGGTAGTTTGTTACTGGGTCTGAGATTGGGTTTTATAGGTGTGGTGGGGGAGAGGGTAGTTTCTGTTGGCCTCTTTTTTTAATGTGGGGAATTCTCTAGTTGCTTCAGTACAGGCCATACTTTACTTCATTATTTAATATTCCTGAAGTCCATGAGGTGAGAGTTTGTTCTAGACTCTCACCAAGCCTAATTCATGGTCTTCTCCTGGGCCCACCTGTCCCCACTGGTGTCCATCTGCTTAGTAAGGGCAGTTGAAAGCCATTTATGTCTTGTTACCTGGGGCTGCTGCCATGGGAGTTTTTTTTAAGCCCAAATTATTTTTACTGAGTGTTTTATGAAATTTTTTTTAATGTCTGGAAAAGACTTTTTGAGGGGATTAGGATGTTGTAACGACCTTACCTTCTTAACTTTTGACCCCACCTAGATCAGCGAAACCTAGGCATGTCTATGCGTGTGGAACGTTCCACCTTGGATCAGGTAAAGAAACGCTTTGAAGTCAACAAGAAGAAGATGGAAGAGAAGCAGAAAGATTATGATTTTGAGGAAAGGATGAAGGAGCTCAGAGAAGAGGTATGCTCTACTATCCTTCTCTCTCCACTCCCCAGCTTTGAATTTTATATTATGAATCATGGGAAGGCTTTTTTCCTCATTCCATTCCCACCCCAAAAGGAGAGTTTTATCTCCTGAATTTCTGTTTATTAAGGGAAACATTTATTGCCCTTGTTTGAGACTCTCATGATCTGAAGGAAATGGCTCTAAAGCTATCTTTTTTTTCTGGACTCTCTAGGCGATATATATATATATTTTTAAACTATAGGAGCAACTAACTAAGTGCACCTATTCCCCAGTAGGCCTGTGGAACCAGGCTGACTGGGTCAGAATTCTGTTTCCTCCACTTACTAGCTGTGAATCTTGGGCAAGCTATATAAACTTTCTGTGCCTCCATTTTCCCGTATAGAGACCTTCGTATATAATATACATAAAGCTTTTAGACGAGTTCCTAGCTTGTACTGTATGCCCCAGAATGCTAGTTCTCATTATATGGCTTTGCTTCCATCACCTTAAGAACTAGAGATGAACTGGGATGTTGGATTGAGAAGTGCTCTCCACAGGCTCAAACTTCTCTTTCTTTTCCCTTATAATCTTTACCATGGCTTTTCCTCTGCTCTTGAAATTTTACTTTGTGTTTAATTATTTTCTTCTAAAGATAACAAGTAAGCTACCTGTCTCTTTCAACAACATTTGGCTCAGGATTCTGAACTGATTCTGAGTGATTTCCCCTCTAGGAGGAAAAGGCCAAAGCCTACAAGAAAGAGAAACAGAAGGAGAAGAAAAGGAGGGCTGAGGAGGACTTGACATTTGAGGAGGATGATGAAATGGCAGCTGTGATGGGCTTCTCTGGTTTTGGTTCCACCAAGAAGAGTTACTGAGGCTTTCTATGCCTGGCTTTTTGCTGGGCCTAACTTTGTGTGTGTGGGCATCATTTTTTGGGAGGTACTTGGGAAATCCTTAAGAGTGGCAATGGGGAGGGCTAGAGGGTGGGTGTTTGTGGTTGCCCTCTGCCTTGGGAGAGAGCACAGGATGCAGAGGAATACTCTGTGGCATATTCCTTCAGCCTCAGTATATCACTGGAGTCACAGGACCTCTGACCATCCAAGTTCCCAATAAAGAAAAACCTCCTCTTCTGAGGCTGCTTTCCTGAAACTCTCCCTGCATCTTTCCCCCTCTCTTCATCTCTTCATTCTCTTATCTGAACATCCTACATTTATCCTGTGTTCTGCCTTTGTTTTAATTTTGACTCTTGTTTAGCCTACAGCAGAAAGGTTCTCTGGGTCCCCACTTTCCAGTTGATAACATATCCTTGACTGACCCCTGCTTTCCCCATTCTCCCCTCACTTCCCACCTCCCCCGCCGTGGTTCTCTGGCCACTGTGCATGCATGTGTACCTCTGCCTGGGTCAGTGGTGTGTGCAGGTGTGTGTGCATGAATCTGTCACATAGAGGGAGCCTGAGCAAGAGCTTCAGAGCATTGCTGCCTTGGAGCCTGGTTATCTCGGCTTCCTCAGAGCATGTAACAGGAAATTAAACGGGATGAGTGTTTGGTGTGGTATTTGTCTGCTGAGTTTTTTAACCTTTGTTTTTCACATGTAGACTGTTCACCTTTTCCTGTTTGTTTGATTTTATTGAGGATTGTTTTTGTCTTCCTTGTAAGCAGGCTCTTGGAAGAACCTGTTTGATGCAAAAAAGAAAAAGGAGAAAACCTCATATGGGAGCCCTTGGGTCTCAGAGGCTGTTCAACATGTATAATAAATGGCATTGACTGGGCCTATTTCATATTTGGTGGGAACATTCCATATTCTTCCCTGTGTATTGTTTTTTCTTTCCCACACTTACTCTTTTGAAATTGTCCCTTCATTTGAGCCCTGTCACTTTTTTTCTAGGTTCCTTCAACATGAGTTCTATTTTCCTCTGATGGGATCTGTGTCTGGAGGAGTCTGAACAAAACTTTTCCTGTAATTTTAGCCTCCTTTAATCTTTTATTTTTGGAATAGCAGAGCTCAGGGCTGAAAGCTTAGTGTTTTCCTTACTATCTGCTGTTAGGCTAGGCACAGGGTTACTCAGTTTTTGCACTGTTGACATTTTGGACTGGATAATTCTTTGTTGTGGGTGCTCCCTTGTGCATTGCAGGAGGTTTAGAGTATCCCTAGCCTCTGCTCGCTAGATGCTAGCAGCATCTCCTCTCCAAGTTGGGACAACTAAGGATATCTGTGTCTCCCAGAGTGGGGTGGGGTAGAATTCCTCCTCCCAGCCCCACTGAGAGCCTTTGAGAAGCTGCCTTCCCTTTGGTCTAATTTGAGAATTAGATGGCACAGACTGGTTAATAACTAAAGCCAAAACAACTTTGATATTCCCTGGGTCAGGTACTGTGCCAGGTCCCAGGGATGCAGGGGGGGAATAAAAGCCCCTTAAATTAAAAAAAAAAAAAAACCAAACATGATAGTTACACAACTGTAAACAGGTGAATTCTGTAACAACTTATAGCTGATTCTATATCCTGCTAAATAGGCTCTCTTTGGGTTAACAAGGCTGCTACCATATGGCTTGTTGACATTCTGTGCCTCATCTAGTCCCTCATACAACTTTATGTAGCATCTGAATCAGATCACTTGTGGGTCCCCCAGAGTACCATAGTCTGGACTTTTGTGCAAAATTCCCTTGCTGTCAGGCATTCATTTTGTCTAACTTACTTCTAATGCTGAATCTTGCCACTGGAAACACTGTGAATGTATCTTTATCTACTGGCTTAAGGCCTGGCTCAGTTTCTCATAAAATATTTGGCCACTGCAGGCAGATTAGTTGGTGCTTTCCTTGGCAGGAGTATGTGTTCTACAGGTCCTTGGGTAAGAATCTGCCCTTGTCAACGGGATCCTTTTGTTCTCCTTTTCAAGGCAGGCTGGAGAATATGTCAGTGAGCTGAGTTCCTTCCATGGTTCACTATTCATCAGGCAACTAATTCAACTTTGGCCTCAAGCGATTTCCCTCCCTTTTTGATACCAGCAAAATCTGACTTCTGATCATCTCTACTAAAAAGCAGTTCTGAATTCCAGTTTCTAAATTCTCTTGGGACAGGCAAGTGGTTTGAGTCTCCAGGGGGTCTGTCTAGGTCATGGGTGTTTGGAGGGGCTCAAGTTGGTGACTTAAAAAAGGGAGGGTGGGAAGGAAATGGGATGGAAATTTAGGAGTCCAGAGCAATCCCAGAGAACTCACATCTCTGGAAGTTTTGATGTTTGTGTTCACTAAAATCCAAGAAAGTTTTGCATTCTAGTTGAGAAACATGCCTGTGACCTGTCTACATGAGTGTTCATTCAATGAGTCTGAGGTGCTGAACATGTTCTAGGCCTTGTTAGCAAGGCATCAAGTCCCCAGCTGTCATGGAATTTGCATTCTGTTGGAATTGCTGGTTGAAGTATTTACAGAACAAAAGATCTGTATGGCTTCAGATGACTCTGGTTTCAAGCACCCCCAGGGCCTCTTGCATCTCTTCTAGAACTCCAAAAATTTAATTGTGAAGACTAATCCAGCAATTCTACTCATCTAAGTATCCTAAGAACAGACTTGCTTATGTGTACATATGCATGCAAAGATGTTTACTGCAGCTTTGTTTATAATAGTGAAACATTTAAAATAAAACTGGTCCATTTATACTTGAGTATAATGCAGTCATTACAATATGTATGAATTAGATCTACTCAATGTACTGACAGAGGTCTCCAAGACATACTGTTAAGTAAACAAACACAAAAATAATACCCAACAAACCAATCCCCAGTAAGGCCTCCCTCACTCCCAGTCATAAAAAAAAATGTGTATAGTTAAATATATAGATTGAGGAAAAGAACTGGAGGAATACACACTGAAATCGTAATCATTAACTGGAGAAAAGTAGGAATTGTGGGGTGAGAAAGGTTATCTGTTTACAGGATACATAAAAGGAATAGGGTGTTCGTGTGTGGTTTAGAATAATTTTAAAAAATATTAACAGAAGTAATACTAATAACACCTGGGAACTGTATAACACCTGGGAGAGGAGCTGTGGGGTTTATGTAGTTTAACCGCAAAGTTCCAAAATAAAGCCTGAAATAACAATTTGCAGCGTGTAAAGATTCCACTCTACTGATTCAAGGCACTGTGAAAGTTGATCAGATCACAGAGTGCTGGACCCTGTGGTTGTCAGGGGAGCGGAGAGGTGTGAAGAGGCGACCAGAGCCTTGTGGACCAGGTGACTGCGGCGGCACGGAGGGAGAGAGTAAGCCCAGAAGCAACCGCGGAAGAGCTCACTTGCTGGTAGGGGAGACCTGGGTCCTTGACACTGCTGTGTGTCCTCAGATGGGCACTCTTCAAGTGTCTGAATTGGGGGTGGGTGATCAGATAGGGCAGTTCGTTTGGACGCTGAGTCAGTCTGGATCACGTCTATCCTCTTTGGTTTATTGTGACGTATGCCTTTCTCACTAGTCAAGTTAATATAATCCAGAGGGCGTGCTCGGGCTGGCTTTAGCTCAGCGGTTCCTTCGACTGACATGCAATTTAATTACCCTCTCGGGGGTGGTTCGAGACCCGCGGGCGCTCTCCAGTCCTTTTGCCATTTTGCTTTCCCCAAAAAGCAATCTCTTTTGCTGTCCCAGTTCTTTCCTAGCTTGGAGAGAGCGTTTTTCAGACTCCTCCCCTGACGGGAGCGCCAAAGCAACCAACTTTCCAGCGGGTATTCAGCTCCCTTTCAACCAGGAACTAGGGTTGCTTGCAGAAATAGCTGATGCTAGGACAGGGGAAGGAAATACAGAGATGAACTGGGAGCATCTTGGATTCATCTAGTAGTTCCAGAAAGTAAGGAAGTACTAAAAAACAAAACAAACAAACAAAAAAACCCAACACAAAAAACTTGCTTTTAAAATTACTTTTGATGTTTATGTTTGTTTTTGTTCCAGTGCTTAACTGTTATACTGGTATCTTTTCTAAGTCCTCAAATAACTTTTCCTTACAGGGGCTGCGTTATTTCGTTTGTCAGCTACATTTTAACTCCCTTCTATTATTTATGTAACAGTCAATTATTTCACTTCATTTTCCCCTTCCTCTCCCAATTTGAGAGAGGTTACTTTCAAAAAACAACTTGCATATTATTTTCCCATCCTTGTTACCACCTTTATTTTAGTCAGAGATCTACAACTTATTAGTATAGTTAATGCTTTCTGAATTTTCCTGTTAGTTCTAAGGTGGATGAAGCTCATTCTCTAGTAAATTCCTCAGAAGAGGCTCCAGCGTACAGTATTCTGAATTCTTGCATGTTTATTTAAAAATTTTTTTTAAATTGAAGTATAGTCGGTTTACAATGTTGTGTTAATTTCTGGTGAGTTTTGCTTATTTAAAACTGATTTTCTATAGCCTTAGTACTTAAAGGAAATGATAGGCTAGATATAAAATCTTGGTTCTCACTTTTTTCCTGTGGGCATTTAAAAACTTCATTGCAGAATATATGTATGTATATGCATGACTGGGACATTGTGCTGTATGCCAGAAATTGACACATTGTAACTGACTGTACTAAAAAAAATTCATTGCTGCTTTCCTTTGTGTGTTGTGAAACCTGATACCAACCTGATTTTGTTTCCTTCCTAAATGATTTGGTCTTTTTCCCTGAGGCCCAAAGGATTTTTTTTCTTTCAAATCTAATTAATTTTCTAAGATACCTTAGAATTGACCATTCCATACTATTTTCTTTGGTCCTTGGAAGACCTTTTTGATGTGTAGATTGAAGTTTTACTTCTAGGAAGTTTTCTTGACTATTACATCTGTTCCATTATTTTGTTTTTCTTCTACAGGGACTGTAATATATGTTGGGTCCTCTTTGCCTCTGTATCTAGCACTTTCTGATCCTTCTTACTGGTTTCTTGATTTTTAAACTTTTTCCTGGCTGTTTCAATTCCTTTCGTCAAAACCAGTTATTGTATTTTAAGTAAAATCTCTTCCTCTTGGACATCTTATAATTTAGTCTTTTGTTTTCCTGAGATGATTTTACTTTTTGTTAATTTTCTCTTGATTTTGACTAACTCTTGTCTTACAACTTTTTGGTTTTTGTCCATTTTGTACTGAATTACTTTTCTGATTCACTGTTTTTCATATCACCATGACTGTTTAAGGTTATTTAATTCAGGTTGGAGTATTGTATTTCAGTTTTCCTGTTTCATGGTTAGTTTTGAAAGAATATTTATCCCCATTTTTTTTGTTGTCTTTGTATAATATTAAGCCTACTATTTTCTGTTCATTCTAAATGTCTACTTTCCAGTTTTAGCAACTGCAAATGAGGCAGGCAGTTGGGTGCTTTATTAGGTTTCTTAGTTCGAGAGTGCCCTCTTCTGTAGGTAGGATGAAGTGCATCTTTTCCAAATAAAAGGTATTTTGTGGCGAGTGGAGGCCAGGTTGATGGGTCTTCTGGTTTTGTGATTCTCTTTCATTTCTCTGGTGGTTTTCATTTTCACGCCTTGTTTTCTTTATCTTCACCATCAAGCCCTCAAGGGATACCTCCCCTTCAAGTCACCTCTTTCCTCCAGACGAGATGCCTTCTCAAGACTGTCATTTCTAGTCTTAAACACTTTAAGACCTTCTCTTAGAGTCCTCAGTTCCTCTCATCCATCAGGTCTCAGTCGTATTGTCAGCCTTTCCCCCTCAAGCTGGGACTCTCTTTTTCTAGTGGTGACTCTATCTGTCTTCCACCATTGCTAGACCTTTGTTGCTCTCTAATCTTCTATACCATCTTGGCCTCTCTTCAATAGCATGGCTTTGTAACTGAATCTGCTGATTTTGGCTATATAGTCACCAGTTTATATGTAGAATAAAGTTTATAATATTCTCTGTCTCCAAATTATGCTGTAGTCATAGGTGGTTTTATTAGCTTTCTTTTTGTTCATTTGTTTGTTTTTATTTAGGTGGCTGGCATTATTCTGTGGGAACCTGGAAGCCAGCTCTTTTTTTTTCTTAAAATTTTTTTCTTTCTAGTTTTATTGAGATATAATGGATATAAAGCACCGTGTAAGGTTAAAGTGTACAGCATAATGATTTGACTTACATACATCATAAAATGATTACCATGATAAGCTAAGCGAACATCATCTCATATAGATACAAAATTAAAAGAGAAAGAAAAAATATTTTCCTTGCGATGAGAACTATTAGGATTTAGTCTCTCTACAACTTTTATATGTAACATAAAGCATTGCTAATTATATTTAACATGTTGCACATAACATCCCAGTAACTGGAAGTCTGTACTTTTTGACTACCTTCATCCAATAACTCTTCCCTCCACCTCCTGCTTCTGGTAACCACAAATATGATCTCTTTTTCTAAGAGTTTGTTTGTCTTCAAAATATAATTTATCTACAATACTGTTTTATTTCCTGGTGCACAACATAGTGATTTGATATTTCTATACATTACAAAATA